ATTATTTATTTTCAGTTCAATGGTAAACAACTCATAAATTCTACCTCCTTATAAGTAAAAACATACGCAGTACTAGACCTGTTTAACAATTGCTATAACGTATATATGTCAGTGTTATAATAACTGTTTATTTTTTATTCTGAACAAAACAAAAAGTATATAAAATAAAACAATGACTAGACACTATTTATTCGAGGCTTAATGAATAGCCCGCTACGTTAATGTAAAACTACAGAGACGAATTAACAATTGAATTAAACACTCTTTTTACCAGGCAGTACATTGACCCCTTTATTTATAAAATAAATTTTAACTGAAGCCCTTTCTGTCAAATTGCTTTCGCTATGAAGTGGTCAAGATGAGAATTTTAGTTAAAACGGTGAAATTATGAATGAGTAATTAAATAATGACGAGCAGTGCTGGCCTTGTGGCTAGTGGCGACTCTCATCCCTGAGGTCGTAGGTTTGATCCCTGGCTGTGCATCAATGGACTGTCTATATGCGCATTTAACATTCGCATAAACGGTGAAGGAAAACATCGTGAGGTAACCGGCTTAGACCCAAAAAGTCAACGGCGAAGTCAAGCTCAGTGCTTGACTTCGCCTACTTGCCTATCGCCTACTTGCCTATTACATTGGCAAATGATCATGAAACAAATACAGGAATCTGAGGCCCAGACCTAAAATGGTTGTAGCGTAGTTATTTCTTTTTACTGTTTTAATTAAGTACTGAAAGTTCTTAATCAAGTTGGAATGTCGAAAAAACTTATGCAGAACATTAAGATAACGAAAGTTGCGTACCTGGGCCACGAGTTGCGCCATGACCGCCACCTCCTTCAATTAATTATAATGTGGTAACATCCATCAAGGCGCAAGACACAAGTCAAGGAAAGTAACCTAAAGCCGGCCCTGGGCAAAGGTTGCTCTAGTAATGAGCTTCTCTCCTCTTATTTTATTAAATACGCTTTTTGCTAGTTTACTTCGGGTTTAACTTGTTCCATTACGAGCACGTTTTTCCAATTTTTTCAGCAAATACAAATTTAGTGGGAGAAGAATTCAGTTTATTATAATAATTATTATATTATAATTTACCGAAGTTGTGGTATACTTAGGGCGGAGCACCCAAAAAAATATTGTTGTTGGCGGGAATAAAATCAAGGCCTAGGCCTAGGGCCTGTGCATATTAATATACAAGTGGGACACATAAAAAGGTTCCAAACGGTTTGAGATCGTATTCCCAAGATTGTTGTTATTGTATTTACTATAAATATTGTGAATAGAAATAAAACATATTATATCCTGAAGACAAATCACAGAATCCATGCATACACTGACAGCGCTACAATAGTACACGTCCTTTCCTTCCAATATGAATAATAAACTTTATCTCCAGGCCAAACACGCTTTAATGACCACGAAGTGTTTCGTCTTTCCGCTATTTATTTCCTAGAAAAGTACGGCATACAACGTTTTAGAAACATACACATACCTCAGTACTGTATTTTTAGATCTGGGCCTCAGATTACTGTATCATGATCATTTGCCAAGCTGACAGGCAAGTAGATCAGCCTCCTGTAACTGACACACGCCGTCGACTTTTTGGGTCTAAGGCGAGCCGGTTTCCTCACGATGTTTTCCTTCACCGTTCGTGCAAACGTTAAATGCGCACATAGAAAGAAAGTCGATTGGTGCACAGCCGGGGATCAAACCTTCGACCTCAGGGATGAGAGTCGTACGCCTGTTCAGAAAGGCCGTGATAGTCCAGAAAAAGAAAGTACTCAGAATTCTATTATCAAACATTAGTTACATATAACGCTTCATCGATATATCATTATTCCTCCGTATTGTGGATATCAATCTACGATCGGGTATCGGTACATCGGCTGGCATTTTACGAAGCGTTTTATCGCTGGACCCACAATCGCTTTGCAAGTTTTTTGTTAGCGAATTTTGAGGTCCCTTCGCAACGGAATTTTGGTCCGGATTTAACGCTTATGGTAATTTATGAGTTTACGAAATATCTGATAGGACTCGAATGAATTAAGATAACGTAATTGAATGTTTTGAGTTTTTGGGGCGATTTGGGCGATATACAGGAAATTAGAAAACGAAGTTTGATATGGCTCTTTATTTATTTACACTCGGTTCCCTTTTTTATGTAATAGGAGGCAAACGGGCAGGAGACTCACCTGATGTTAAGTGATACCATGGACACTCACATTGCCAGAAGACTCGCAAGTGCGTTACCGGCCTTTTTAGAATTGGCACGTTCTTTTATTGAAGGACACTAAGTCGAAATGGTTCGGAAATACTTCAGTGGGCAGCTGGTTCCACATAGTGGTGGTGCGCGGCAAAAAAAAACTGGTTCATAAGTTATTAGGCAATGGGCGGCTTCTTACAAACCTAGGATAGGAAAACTTGACGACTCATTGGTCTAGTGGTTAGTACCCCTGACAGCGAATCCATGGGTCCCGGGTTCGATCCCCGGCTGAGACGAACATCGATGTGAAGAGCATTTGGTGTTGTGCTTAGGTCTTGGGTGTTTAAATATGTATTTTTATGTCTATCTATCTATAATATGTATGTATATCCGTTGCCTAGTACCCATAACACAAACTTCACCAGCTTAGCATGGGACTATGTCAATTGGTGTGAATTGTCTTTAAAAAAAAAACACTTACTGAGGGAAAAGTACAAGCTATAATAATTAAATAGAAACAAAATTACATGTAACACTAGAAATATACCAACCAGAACTAAAGTAATAAAAATATTAATTATTATATTAATAAAAATGTAAAAGCTAATTTTAGGGTTAATGAGTTATAATAAATATGTATAATGTATATATATAAGTAGCTACGAGCCTTTTGTTCTGTTTTATATGGAAATTATATTTAAAAGATTAACTGTATCAAATCCTACTTTGCCTTAATTGGCCTTGTGGATGATCCCGCTTTGTATTATAATATTGATTGAATATTATAAAATTAATATATTTATTTATATTTTAAGGTATTCAAAAATGTATCTCGATTTATTAAAACAAACATAAGAAACAATCTTAATAATTGTTATTGTCAGATACAGAAACATTTCGTAAACGTATTTTCCATTTTAAAGCTGTACTAAAAAGATTAGCGTAAAACCATTACCCGTTTACAAAAAGTCCGGTTTAATTTGAGCTATGGTAGGCGAGCGGTGAACATGAATCTCATTAGAGCCAACATCGAACGACTGAAACTAGCTACGGATTAATTACATTCACCATGAGAGTGATGAGTCGGCGATTTCATTAATATTCGCTGTAGTTGATTATAATTTCTTTTGGACTCAAGTTTTATATTAACCCCAATTATCAGTTACTCATATGAGTGAGGTTTAGGGCATATTAATGTCACGTTAGTAGAACATTCCAACAAACTAAATACAAAATACCATCCGTATCATCTCGCGTTTCTTAAGGCAGTCTTTGCCGCGGACCACCACATGGAAGCAGCTGCCCACTGAAGTATTTCCGAACTAGTTCGACTAAGGGTCCTTCAAGAAAAGAGCGTACCAATTCTTGAAAAGCTGGCAACGCACTTGCGAGCCTTCTGGCAATGGACACTCCATGGCCTGCCATCTGCACATCAGATCCTGCCCGCTTACCTCCTATTACATAAAAAAGTGCGTGCGTACAAAGTACACATGTCAGAAGTGAAACTTCTTTGGCAAACAAATTTTTAAGTCTCTTTCATATTTATACAAATCTCAAGATTTCTGAGACTTAGGGAAAAAGGAAGATATGTTAGGAATTTAATGGATTTAATTGTCATTAAAAGTATCGAAAATAATACAAATTATAAATTTAATTTTTTAAATTTATTTCTTTGGTAATAAAAAACGTGGCATTTTAATTTAGTATTCGTCATTTGAGATTTCAATAAATTATTTTACATACAATATAAAATACTTTTTTTTTTCTAATAATATTTCATAAATTCTGTTTACGAATATTTTATGTTACAGAAATTCTATTTTTAGGTAGTTTAAATGTTTATGTAAGGTGTATAAATGTATGGTGTATAAACAGTTGTCACTCTCTCTCAATCGGTCTCAATCGCTCTCTCCCTTTTCTTGGACAAAAACGCTACACATCTTCGTGACGTTCCTTAAAAAAAATTACCCTCATGCGCCTAAAGAAATTTCACTTCAAAAAACCAGGCATAAACATTCAAAAAAGTTCGATGTTGTAACATCAAAAGATGTGTCTTAGTATTTTTTTTAAATTTATTATTGTAATAAACTAATTTTCTCAGTTTATCTTCTCACTATTTGCTTTTACTCTAGTCTTACAGAATAGCGTACTTTGTGTTTGCAAGTTTGCTATCACTTAACCTCACAGTAACTTAGCAATTTACCTTCGTGACTGTTTTAATAGATCCAAGTTTATTTAAATGCTTTGAACTGTAATTAGCAAATTTGTTTTCTTTCCAACATTTGTATTTCACAATATTCTCTTCATCACAATCATTTAAGTAATATAAGATACAGAAAGAATTTTTTTATGTGATGTAATACTAATCTGTTTGGAATCTTTAAGGAAAACTTGTAAATTTGATTTTCAAAAGTGCCTTTTTAATAGGTACTAAATGTAGAAGGTAATTAAAGATGTGTCTGCACGAAGTCAATTATTGGATACGGATTTCAATTTCGGGTTTGCAAAAGCTACATGTATGTGTTTAGGAGTTATTATATACAACCTAAACACGTGACCTAGTGCTGGCAGGCTATTGCTATTTCTACGTTTGATTCATATTAGATTTTTTATGATGTTAATAGAATAGCAAGACCAGATTTCAGGACCCTCAATGTGTTCTTTACATGTCGTATTTGTACTGTTATCTTTCTTACAATTTAATTTACTTGAAAATAAATGTACTACTAGTATATATACTCGTTTATCCCAATTTTGTGCATTAACACTAAGTGTTTGCAAAGGTCATAATATAATTTTAATATGGCAATACCAGAATCTCTAGAATTCCATGTCAAAGGCTTTAATATGATTGGCGGTAAGCACCAACCACCAAGTGGTAACGTTCACGCAACACCTTCCAATCAATATCGCAATTGTTGCTGGAAAAATCTAGCGAGCTAATCACGTTTACCATTTAAGGGACGAACGCAGGCTATACAATTGTGTGAATAAGTAAAAGGAAAATGTCATAGAATTTTGATCACGTGTCACCAGTGTATCGTAGGTAACTTCAAGCTTTGCTCACCAGACGTACTGACAGTACTAGATACTGAGGAATCAGACTACTACCCCCGGGCTGCGCAGGAAAATCGAATCACATATTCTCGGGCTCTGACCGTCACGATTCGATTTCAATCTTTTTGCAATACTGGTAATAATTTGCGAAGTCAGCGTCCGAAATTTCCATTAAACGTTAGAAATATATTAATTAAAAACAAATGTGTGTGTAGGATTAATAAATCCCATTTTTAATTAAACAATATCAATCTGCGTTATTTAAATTGAAAACACCTAAATGAAACATTTGTAAAAAAGAGCATTATATTTTTTTTTACAATACTAAGCGATTAAAAAGAGTGGCGGAAAGTTTCTTGCCAGTTCTTCTTACCCGCTCTACGCCCTTGACTTGCGAACTGGTAGTAAATGTAAATTAATTAAACTTCTTTCTGGCAATTCATAAGTGTACTTGTTTACCTACATGAATAAAGATATTTTGAGTTTGAGTTTGTCCTTTCCTTGAATTTACTAAAACTAACATAAATTAACATTACAAGTTTAGATATAATATTTGTGTATACGAACTGTTATGATTACGTTTTATAATATAAATAATCGATCAAAGCTTTACAAAATGAAGTGGAACCCACGACTTAAAGAGCTTAACAGAAGAGAATTAGAAGCGATTTAATTGAATTGTTTACGTGCCGTTGACTCCAGGCTTCGAGCTGTAGCCATACAAATTGTATCCGATTTTAACGGGCCGATTCCCTATACGATGCAATATTCTTTTTGTTTTTAAGCTCACTAATATAGATTGGAATTTGTATCGTCGTTTTAGAGTCTTTTATAAATTTTCTGGATCGTCTCTTTTAATGTCCGGAAAAAAGAGGTCAGATATTTTAAACGAACAATAACATAACGTTTTGTAGTTAAATGTGTATGATGGTAGGTCATCTAAAGAGGCCAAAGAGTTGCTTTCTTTCGTCGCCATAGGTCATGCTACAAACAAAATAAAAATAAACAAAAACAGAAACATCCATTAGTACGTACTAAAGTTTTTTATTGCCTAAAAAACGTTATCACTAACCAATAATTCAAATCAATTCACCGTTATAATTTATGAAATACGAGATTTAGCGAAGATTCTATTTCGTGCCATTTGGTAGTCTTTTAAGTACATATTGTACACCTTGCCAGCCGTGAAATGTGTGTCTAAATTTATATGTATTAAATGTCAGGAGTATCTGAATAGTATATTTAGTGTATGTATTAGCAAGCTGCACTAGATAACTAAATATATGGGACGGTGAGATGTATGAACCTAACAACCCTACGGATTCCTAAGCCCTACAGATGTACCCTAACACATAAATAGTGAATATATATTCACCATCAGCATGCAGATGCATATGCGAGAAAATAATAAGACAGAGCAATATTCAAAACTGATTTATTGTTATTAAACAATATCTTAAATACTACTTACACCTATTCACACATACATAATATTATTATTGTGTGGTGTAATAACCTTCAGCTATTAAAATTCAGAACAACCACGTGAGCCGTGTCAGCAGTTCATCAATGTTCAAATGAAATTTGAACACACATTATATGTCGCAGTACACCAATGTTAAATATAAGATAAACTTATACTTTACCGGCCTAATGAATGTGTTTTTGACAGGTGAGCGCGCGGGCGAGCGGCGGCGGTGCGCGGGCGCAGTGCGGCGCGGCATGCGGCCCCGCCCGCTGCTGCTGCTGCTGCTGCTGGCGTTGCTGCGCGCGCACGGCTTGCTCGCCACCTCCGGAGGTAAGCTACCAAATACCATTTTCGATAAATCTTATCCCAAGATACGAAAAAAGAATACAGTAAAACACAGAAAACTTTAGAAAAATACGAATTAAAAAAACGTTGTTAAAAGTAACATTGGGTTTGTATAGATTAAGAAAAAATATTATTTTTAAACCATAAAAGATTTAGAGTTATGTTGCCTAATAAATACTTAACATTTTAAAACTTATCAGAATTTCTAATACTAATATTGATTTTCACTTACGAATATTTTTCTGCGCTTTTATTAGATTTACATTTACGAGGAACCATCGATCATGTCACGTGTTTGAACGAGATAGGCAAATATCGATGAAATTCAACGAATTAAATCTGTCTACAAACAATACGTTGACAAGCTGCCGTATAACAAACATTGTTCGCAATCAATGCTCAGAGCAACGGGACAAGCCGGAAATGTTTTGTGTTCTATACATTTTACAATAGCGAAGTACCTCTGCGCAGGATTAGCACATTGATTACCAGAAGTTGAAATATCAATGTAAATATGAAGTTGCTTTTTGCAAATGAGCGTTTTCAAATACCCACTGAAGTATATCCGTACAAATTCGACTTAGGGTCCTTCAAGAAAAGAGCGTACCAATTCATAAAAGGCCGGCAACGCACTCGCGAGCCCTGTGGAATTGAGAGTGTCCATGGGCGGTATCACTTAACAATAACGATGTGCAAATAAATAAATTAGGTGAGCCTCCTGCACGTTTGCACCCTGTTCTATTATAAAAAGCCTTCATCTTTGAGTGTGACACGACAAAAATGTTTTGTATTTCATTTATTTTGTAATACCGAGAGTCTGCGATATATGCGTAGTAATATGACATAGATACATTGTACTGAATTGTTTCAGCAGATCACGTGAGAAGGATTAATATGAGGACTTTGAATAACATAAGTGTTGCCATTTCATTGTCTTGTCCACGTTTTTCATACAACCTGTTGAGATCATTTGCAGTTGATTTAATCTCTTTATCAACAGTTTTGCGATTGCAGTCTAATGTCTTTAAGAATCGCGTACTTTTCGATACCATTCCCTGTATAGTTTAATATCATTTATCTCTCAGGTACTATGCTTCAACTGTCTGAAACACAGATTACAGATCATATAGATAAGTGCTATAGGTTTAACGACCCCGAAGTTAGGAAGTAGGGTGACCGAGATAACCCAAAACAAGGGATAGTGCGGGCTGAGCTGGACATTTTATTGATTGTTAATTGCGAGGGACCCGAAATAGGTCATTTGTTAAAACAGCGACGAATAATTTATCTGTGAGTAGCCTTCAGTAGGCGTTTGGTCTTTAATTGAGTGTTGACGCAATGTAAGGAATGGGAGGTTCTTGGCTGACACCTTGAATGGCTTTGTGTTGGATATTTTAACATATATATAGAAAATTGTAGCGTTATACAATTTTGAAAAAAATATAACTACTTACAAAAATATACTTTTATAGATATTCAATAATATTTAAGATTCTCGTCATATCAATTGCCATGGAATTCTATAAAGAAAGTCAGTCACATTTTGTCTCAACTGTCTTTTTGCTGAGGAACGACTAGCAATTTCCACACTTAGACACTCTTTTGGTTCGTTGTGCGTAAAATCCTGCACAATTAAGCCAACCTAGCTGTTTCCAGAAACTCAGAAGTTTCCTGGGCACTTTAGGAAAGACTTCATTGGGAAAGGAATATATTTTCAAGTTCATTCTAATTATGATTGAAAAGTGGCTAGAGAAAAGGCCATTTGATGTTTCTTTTGACAATATAGGATTGTACATTTAATCAGCAAATGTTCATCTCTAAAAAAGTATTTATTAAATTCATTGTACACAAGTAGATTACAGTCAAAAACACATTTTGTTGTCCTTTAGACGCCTTTATCTCTTCACCATTTCAGCGGATCAAAGGGGAAAAAAATATTGTTTCGCTTCTGGTATTGTTGTGGATTAGTGACATGAAAGGGAACGTACCTGAAAATACAAAATCATGGTATCCACAAACACGGGTACAATTTTTCTAAAAATAAAATATGCGATTGACAATATTTTCGCGGACATCTGAAACAGAATTGATCTCGAAATTGTGATACGTTTTTCATAAATCCGACAGTTACATCAAAAATCATATGTTTGAAAGTTGAATCTAATTTCCTACCATCTAGGGGACATCAAAGATACGTCAATTGGATTGAGATAATCTTTTTGAGTTAACAGTATTACCATAGTCTGTCTCTAACTTTGGAAAAGGAAAGGCTAGAGTGCTTGAGAAGATACATAATTCTATAAAGACAGGTTTATATTTAGTTGGTCACGTTAATTAATTATTATTGGTTGGACCTTTTGAACAATTTTGAGGACAATTTCTTCAACTAATAAATAAAAAATAAAAATAGCCTATATTCGAGTAGATTACAGATTACATTATCTATGTTTATGTTATATTTATGTACCTATTTACTATTAGTACACGAATCTGTGATTTGTGTCTTTGCTCCTATTTTCCAATCCGTATTGCTATCTCTTATTTCATCTTCCCAAGTTTTTTGTGGTCCTCTCTTTTTTTTTCCAACTGGGTCATTCATTTTTTCCATTTTTGTAAGGGTGTTTTTGACCCATCTGTGACTGATACTAATATACAACTATTTAAGAGATTTCTTATATAAAAACTATTTTATTGACGATCATTAGAACACAACCTTTTGTATTACGTTCCCAGATAACCTCAAAGGCATCGTAGGCTGTTAAAATTGAATCATTACCCAGCCTAAATAGGTATATTAGCCGAGTTGATGAAACTAGTGAAGTTATAAAGTACTAAAAGGTAGTGTGTTTCCGTTCCATTAGCGATAAACAAGAAAATGTACTTCTTGATGGGATTACGAAGTTTCCTAACGCACTCGGCCTTGGTAAGTATGCTAATGTTTGAATCCATTTGGTGTTTCCTTCTTATATATGAATATCATTTATCATTTAGAATTTTATATAGTTTCACACATTTATAAGTGGGAAATGGGGTTTAAACAGATTAAAAATGTATTGTGTTGTTTTTAATGTTTTTAATTACAAATCAAGTGTAAATGTATAATAAATAATATTTATGTTACACTGCACTGTGCAAGCACGGTTACAAGTCAATGTTTAGTTTATCAAATGTAGTATAGTATTGTCAAGTTTCTAGATACTGAAAGTATTTTTAAAAGCTTTAAATGTATTGTTTTAAATAAGGATAATTTAGAAAAGTTATAATGTTATTATTATTATAGTTAAAATAACACCACTCGGCGTCGAAAGCAGTGGCAATTGCCAGCAGTGCCGCGAGCGCAGAGAACTTAGTTATGCGCCATTCACTAGCGTTGATCGCCTATTTAATATTTCACCTGAGACTAATTTATGTTATTACACACTACCTGAATTTACAAAGGTCATACTATTCATAATTAGTTACAAAATAAGTAAAGGCTTTTTTTAAATGTATTTTAACGGGTAATATGTTTTTTTTTTTAAGTTTATTTTGGCATTAAAAGTAAAAAAACTCAAAAGTCAAAATTATTTATTAATACATACACTTATGTCTATAAAGAAATACATATAAGCTAAATGCTTCTTATTTTACATTTTCTGCCAGCTCTCAAATCAAGAGCGTAGAACGGACATTTTTGTTTTATACAATGTTTGTAAGGAGCTGCAACCATTACAGTATGTTCCACATGACATCTTAAGTAATTAATAGTAAATAATATATAATAATATATAACAATAATTAATAAAAAATATATTAAAAACAAAGATTTGTCCTCTAACAGCAGTAGGCATGGTTAAATAGGAGCATGCACTTACATTCTCGTGGGCACAACACGCAAACACATAGTCGAAATAACTAACATTAGTAAATGAAATAAATAAATGTTAAGTGTGATAAGAGACTATACCACATATATAAACATCTATTGAAATTAAAACTCAATACACTAAAATTATTCAAATTATCATCACTAATAAACAGTTAACAAGTACACGAAGGTCCAGACGTTCTACTGAATAATATTTTTGTATACAAATTTATATTTTAATTTAAAGTAAAACCCTAACTCACCCTGTAGGTTCTTACGCAGCATAATTGAATAGTCAATCAAATTGTATCGCGAAGTGTAGTCCAGGGGCAGATTGTTTAAATTGAAAAGTTGTCGGCAAACTCGCCGGAACATTATTAAAAAGTTGGATCAACTTCTAACTGAACAATGGCCGTATTAAGATAACGGTTTAGAGCAAATTGTGCCTGACTTGTGTAAGTTAATTTTAGTTTAGCTATTGTAATACGGATAGCCTTATAGATAGATCACATTTACAATGTATTAACGGTAGCTACTTCTTTTTGCAACGTAACTTCGAAACAGAGCAAAAAGGGAACAGAATTCTAACGGAGTGGGAAGAGGGAAACGAAACAGAGGCAAGCAGATTAGAATATGGGAGAACGATATAAAAAAGGTAGAGGGTTTAAAGTGGATTCGAACCGCTAGAGAACGCGAAGATTGGAAAAATTTAGAGGAAGCCTTTGTCGAAGGACAAGGTGTAAAGAAATAAAACCCGTTTGCCTATAGATAATTATAATGAACTAGCTGACCCGGAAAACGTTGTTTTGCCATGTATATTATTTCTAGGATTAAAATTTTTTTAGTTCAATAAAAATAACTATCTTCAATAATAAAAAATAGGGGTTGATCGTAGAGGAGTGAAAATTAGGGGTTGTATGTATTTTTGTGTGTTGTATCAAAAAACCAAAAAAACTGAAAAATTTGGGGACACTCCTTATCACTTAGGGGTTTAAAATATTGATAGTATCCGATTCTCAGACTTACTGAATATGCATAAAAAAATTCATAAGAATGGGTCGAGCTGTTTCGGATTTCGGAGGACCATGGGAACAAACATGACACGAGAATTTTAAATATATAGAGATATTATTTTGACACATGCAAAGCATGAAAGCTAAACAACATTAAAGGTTTTTTTATTTTATAACGGTAGCTAACATTTTTATTACTGCATCAGGCGTGATTTAATTATGATAAATATTAGTAACATTATCATATAAACTATAACAACTTAGTGTGTAGAAGTCCCTGGCTTAATTAAAAAACTTTAGGAACCACTTCCCAGTTTCAATGTCCACTTAAAGTTTAATCCAAAACAAACAAGGCTTCTCAAACTGAATTTTAATAAGAACACCTCAAACTTGGGTTAAGTTATTAATAACGCGTTATTGTAAATATTAACGGAAGTTGTACGATTAAGTTTAATCGAACACTTGTGTATTCAAGGCCTTTATCGAGGAGGGTTTAGAATATATTATTCATTACTAAATATAAGAATTACACACACATGTTAACGCAGGGCGCCGAGCGTGTTCGACACGTGCGCGGACGCTACGGCGACCGTATATGGAAAAATGTATAAAAGAGGACGCATACGCGCCCATCGTCGAAACGGTGTGCGCAGCGTCGTGTTTAACGTTTTATAAAAACAGAGTGATACTACCGACCAGTAGATCCACTCAAAACAAGTAAACCGAATATGAAATGTGAATATATCTTTTTGGTTACCTTGCAGTGGCGTAACTATACCATCTGGGGCCCGTGGCAAATCTTCTTTCGTGGCAATTCTTTTGATGGGGCCCTATCAGCAAAAATCTTCCCTACTCAGTTTAATTTTAATTAACTTCGGGATTTTCAACGTACTGAATTACAGGTTGTATATGTCCCACTAATGGCCATAGGCCTCCTCTCTTAGGCGAGAGGGAATAGTCAGTAGTCCTCACGCTAGCCCAATGCGTGTTGGAGACTTCACATTCATCCATAGAACATAATATCTCTTGGGCAGGGGCCCTCTTGGGTCGGGGGCCCGTGGCATTTTGCCACACCTGCCACCCTATTGTTACGCCACAGTTACCTTGTAATGTGCTTGGAAAGGGGGTAACATCAGAAGCGGCCTACGTGGATTAACGGGCTTTCCGATAAGAGATTGAACCTAATTAAGTATCACATAACCGTCTTGAGATGTGTTATACTTCCACCTGGGTATAGAAAAACCTTAAGTTTTATTTGTAATAATAAAAAAAGGGTGCGTGTACTTATGTACGCGCGTAAGAAGTTATACTTCTTTGGCATTATTAAAAATAGTTTTTGATTGCATGCAAATAATTAATTATAATTCAATAATCAAAGACTGGAAAAGGAGTCATTATAGTCAATAAAGTTCAGTTTACATTTGAAAAATTAAATTAATAAATTTTTATTATTATTCTCTTACATTAAGTGTAACATAAATTCTATTATTATTCGAATGTTGTTTTTAAATTATGTCCAATGCCGTAGCATCTTCCGTGGGCAACTTCATTCTGTTAATTTTGTGTCACGGTGCGCGCGCATCGTAAAATTTCACTCTCATCAATTTTTCATAAAGCGCCTAAAGAAGTATAACTTTAAAAATATTTTTTACAACATTGCACCTACGCACACAATTTTACAAAATTTGAGAACATTTAAATATGTTAGTGGGGTTAAAAAAACATCTACTTAAAGGAATAATACGGATGTATTTATAAAACAAAAGTCACTTCATTCATAATGTAACTCCTAGCAATTCACACCTGCTGAACAACACAAAAATCATTCATTATTAGCATAATTCCCTAACGGCTAATTACCTCGGTTTTGTTAATATTTTATTACATCGTTATGCCGTAGGCTCTCCTGGCTGGAAAATTTGGGAATTGAGTTAGAATTCAGCTTATTTAATTTGATTTTAATGCAATATATTAATCTATGCGCTAAATCTGAATAAAAGACATTACAGGTTACCTAACGTTGAAAATAGCTGATCTTAATAATTCATAAAATGCGGAAACTTTTAAATCACTTATGAAATTTACATCAGATATGAACTGTGTCATTCTATTTAGTACTTAAAGCTTTCAAACATAAGCTTGAATTTATACCGACGTTATGATAATTAAAACAAGTAAGCAAACTGTTAACTATCTATAACTTCTAGTTAACAATTATGAAGCGCAAAAATAGAGATTAATATAGTACTGGTATATTTTAGCCTAACTTTAGTTAGCTTAGTTTGACATTTTATGTTCACTTTTATCAGTGACAGGTAAAAATTGTTATGTCATTCGATATATATTGATCAAGCAAGCATGTCCACTGTTGATAAAGAGCATGAACTAACGAGCTGGTGTCGCATAGCCCCGTGCTGAATCACAACAGTTAATAAATTTGTCGCGTTTTGTTTCTGAAGGACACGGTTCACTAGCTAGTATACAATGATTCGTAATGCTGGAAAATAAACAAATAATATCGCAGATGGTCCGATTATTCGTAGCTAAAAATTGGTTAGTTTAAATCTTTATTTTTAATTTAATTTATTATTAGTGTTACCTATATGAATAAATGAGTTTTGACTTTGACATTTCTTAATACCAGTATTAGTTGTGTTTAGATCTAATTGTCTTATTTTTGATGATATATAAGCGTCAACAAAATGTTAACAATCATCGCACACTTGAAGCAAATATGAGCTATTTAGTTTTTACCACACTCATAAATTGTATTTTAGCATTCTCGTTTCCGATATTGTCCAGTAACATAAGTGTCATTTAGATTTATGAACCCTTAGGTAAGCCAAGTTAGTTTTTGTTAGTTATAAGCTAATATTTTAAACCATCAAAGTCAGTTGTTACCCAGCTTCAAACAAAGTGTTTTATTTGAAAACATCCATACAAAAATCGCCACCAAACTTAATTCTTTGAGCGCCTTTTTTATTTTTATTATAATCATGTTCTTCGATTTTCATATGTAATCTAAACAACATTAATAATAACTTCCTAAGTGGAACTTTTTTACTTCAAATAATATACTAAAAATATCTAAATTAAATGGATAGTAAATAAATAATACAACTGCCTTGTGAGATGTATTTATGACTTCTGATAAAACAAAATAAGTCTATAAATGTACATGACTTACTGTGTAGACATCGAATAAAATTTTTACAACCGCAAACAAGACTAGGAATTAATTCTGCTTGTAGGACCTGGCTCGCCTCCAAATATCCTACTTTTACTTAAGTGCTGGTGTTATTGACTTGAATTACTTACGATACAACTTGTGGCTCCGTCACTTAATAGACAGTGTTCGGCTTAATTTTTCTTAAGAGTATACCAGTTGTTAGTACTTTTAGTTTAAACTTTTAAAACAGTGTTTGTTGTCAACGGAAATTTACTTTCTATACGCTCTTTAATAAAACATGCTAGAGTATTGGTACACGAAAAAGTAACCTCAAAAACAATTATCACAACTCTTAAATTATGTGCAATCTTACAATGCACACATAAAAAAGCCATGTAATTTTCCAATTTGCAATACTTCTTCGCATATAGCAGGGCACGAAACGAAAATTGAATCTTAAATACTATATTGCTATCATTTCATATCAAAAGCAAACTAATAACTCAAACGTTAAGCTGAAATTAAGTTAAATGCAAACGAAAAAAGCAATATTTCACGATTTAGCAAAACAATATCAAACAATATTAAACAAACATGGCGATTAAAAAGAGTGGCGGAGAGTTTATTGCCAGTTCTTCTCTTCCGTTCTACGCCCTTGATTTGAGAACTGGCACTAAATGTAAAATTAGAAGCATTAATATATATTTCTTTACTGAAAAGTCATAAGTGTGCAATGTGTTACCCATATGATTAAATGATTTTTGAATTTGAATTTTGCCATGTGCCTTAACCACTTAAGTACGGAAATAGGAAAAACACTCCTGCTGGACATTATTTTTCGTAATAAAATGTTACACTATTCAATAAATGCAATAACACCGAGTACTTCTCATTGAAAAATTTAAATTCAAACATTTGTGCACTTAAAACCCACATAAACCAGGTTTTACAATGCTTGTTGAGCGTGGCTGTTCCAGTTAACGCGGGTATAATATGTAAAGCAACTGTATCAACGTTTTTACCTCCCACTTGGAGCTCATAATGATTATTTTACTGCTAGTAGTTGTCGTTAATGGCTGTATTTTAAATGTACGTTTTTATGCACAGTATACGTAAGTATTAGCAGTGATGGTCTAGTGGCTTCAGCGTGCGACTCTCATTGCTGAGGTCGTAGGTTTGGATAGAAATTACACCACAATAGAATTTCTGTCTATGTGTATATTTAACATTCATTAGGAAACCGGCTTGCCTTAGACACTTAAAGTCGAGGGACCGTGTCAGGCACGGAAGGCTGATCACCTACTTGCCACATAATCATGAAACAGATACAGAAATTTGAGACCCAGACCTAAAAATGTTGTAGCGCCGCTGATTTATTTAATTTATGCATAAGTGTTGCCGCTCTGTACATAAATAATAATAATAGTTATGCTTCATTTATCCCTTGAAACATTCATCCATCTTTACAAAAGATACACACACACATAAATTATATATTTTTTAATGGAAATCTTATAGAGTATAGGCCTCCTCCAACTGGCTTCATCTCTCCAACTTCTTTACAAACTT